TTTAGCTGCTGTTTGAAAGACTATAGTGCGTAGGAGAGCGTACAGAGAGATAGAGACAGAGGATGGAGGGAGGTGGGGCGGTGCAACAAGATGGAGAGAGACTGCCTGCACATACTGTCAAGGCAGTTAATATAAGGTGTGGAGATAAGGCACCACAGACAAACATTGACCAAATCAGGCATTTCAGCAGCGCAGCCCGAACTGTCAGTCAGCCTGAGAGACAGACCAACAATCAGCACTCTACCTCTGATAAGGGCTCTACTGGGCGCGTGCAGGAAATAGCCAATCTGCAGCCGGCCTGGCAAGGAGAGTGATGGTGGGGAGTGGAGGTGAGGAGGGCGGTGTGATGATGGAGAGTCACAGAGGGGGGAGTAAATGTAGAGCAACAACAAGTGAGGGAACGTGGCCTATAAATTTAGAGAGAAATGTGGACTAAGAGTTCACAGGAAAGGATAATAACCGAGAAGAGGAGGAAAGACGGAGAAGAGAAAGAAAACAGAATGATATTCATCCACACCCCACCCAAGTGCTCTCACAGAGAAAGAGATTCACCAGGGAATACAAGTGATGGGGTAAAAAAAAAAAAAAAAACAGAAAGGGAGGTGTGATATCAGCTCTTAAAATAGTGTCTCTCCCCAGTTTTTTGTCACCTGGGAACAGCTTGCACAGAGAGAGTGTTAGAACTTGGTTTAGACCAACACCTTACATTAATGATTTGCCAACAGCTTTGACTAGCTCATTCCTCAATGTGCCGTTCACCTTGCCTCACACACAATAGCATGGTTTCATTGTCTCTATTGATTAATGGCGCGTATAGTGTGTACATGCACGAGCACAAATTCACATGCATGAGTGTGTGCGGTGCATCTCAGCGAAGAAAAAAACACTCCCTGTTTAATGGAAGAGTCTGCACTGGCTATGAAATTCCCTCATAAGAAAATAAACACATCTAAAATGCTGGAGCGGATGCCTGTGGAAGTCCGAGGAGGTGGGAGGATCCACACTGACCCCTGTAGGTCAGAAAAGGAACCACAGCTTGGCAGCAAGTTGGAGGAAATAAATTCCCAGCCGTTTACCTTTGTCAAACACATTTAGGTTCCTCCAAGCAAAACAGTGGAGAGCAGCAGCAGCTGGCAAGTATTTATTTTCACAAGTGGAGTCAGAGGGGTGTCTGAGCTTCCTTGATCATGAACCAAACTGCCATTACCATGACCACTGATAACAGTAGGAATTGTAAACAAGCTAATCACCAAGGGCCTATTTGTATTCTCATTTGTGTTTGCATGCACTGATGTGCAGAGGGAGGGCGCAGAGAGCGGGAGAACAGGCGAGGGTGGCGGCAGTGAACGGGGAGGGACACGGCTGGAAGGTGGGGTGTGTGTGAAAGGGTTAAGTTCCCTCCCTGGTTGCATGCTGCTTTCCCTTGCTCTGTCAAGCCCCATTAAACCTGCTACACCACAGCAATATGGTGCCATCAATTACAGGCACGCTGCCATCAATGCAGAGCGCAGAGGAGAGGCAGGAACACATAAACAGGACAAACGGCCACATAAAAGACCTGCAGCTACATAAAGTCCTGCCTCAGTCTCACACACACACACAATATTTCCCCTCTCCGTGTGTCTGCATCACCTCTGACATGTTCTGTCTGTGAATGAATGGATGCCTTGTTTCAAACACACACACACAAAATGCATGCCCTTAGGATTCACTTTCATTCATGACAATAAAGCTGATTTCTGAAACTGATTTGGGCACAATGGGTGACAACCTTCAACGCGGTGAGCTTCTACTGCCCCCATGTGACAAAAGTAACACAACTCAGACCAACGGAGGCACGAGCATCAAATCTACTCCTCATACCTGTACTCTGCACAATCTCACAATCACAGAACAGGAGAAAAATCAATAAGACCATGACAGAGAGTAGAAGAGACTCACATCAAGAGCAGTGAGCATTCCTGAAAGTGACACCATTTCATCACCGCCACACAGGAACCTGCACTCCTCAAGGTTCGGACCAGATTATCAGCCAGTGGTGCAGAAAAAGACAGCAGCTGTGCTCGTCTAGTGCCAGATGAAGGAGACGGACTTCCATTCTGTTACACAAAGAAGCCAGGCCTTCTTTGCCTTTTGCTGTTGCAGTTGCAGTGTCTTGAATGATTTTTGTGTGTGTAAAGTTGCTGGACTAAGGTTCTCTGAGCAAAAAGTATGACAATGCATTGACCTTTTTAAGTTCAACTAGCTGGAAGGGATCCAACAGTCCTACAGCAAAGCCTCCATTGCAGAGGTGATAACATTCAGTTCTTGTTCAGACTGTTTCAGAGGTTTGTAATGCAGTTTGACACCACAAGCCTGTTTTTACATTCATCTGGTGATGGGGGAAATGTTCCTGTGCTCATATAATCATGGTCCTACCAGAATTTTGGCCACTTGGTTATAGTGCAAACAAAATGTGAACATAACTCCTGAGCAGCGGGTGCACACTGAGCTGTGAGAGCCTTTTCTCTGCTACTGCAGCAGACGTCACAGCGAGGGTGAAGTGGGACACTGAAGAATCAGCTGAAACTCACTGTAAACCTCCTTAAAGTCGAGCAGAGCTGCAACTTCAGCAGACAGTTCTCTACACATTCACCACAATGACCGACCCCGTTCACACTGCGTCCACCCCGTCACTTGATAAATTGTTAAAAAGAAAATGTTTTGCATATTCATGGAGTCTGGACTGAATCAATGTTTGAGTTGCTAATAAACAATAAATATAAATCAACCTTTCTCAGACAAGTTATTATACAAAGTCAAACATGCCTGGAAGAGAGTTTCAAAAAGGGACTAAGAAAATTGCAATCAGGAGAAAAAAAGTGAATTATTAACAAAAACTATTCTAAAAAACAGAGAATTTATCAAGTACAGTGTCATTTAGTTTATTAAATTTTCATCATTATATAAAACGGTGCAGTACATACAATGCGTGTGTCAGTCTCAGTTGTTTGGATGCTACATAGCTACCAGACAGAAGTAACAGCTGCTAGAACAGGACTGAGGTGACATTGTGTTAGAAGTTTAAATAGCTGGTTTATCCAGATTTGATAAAACATACATTTCATATTTTCTCACTTAACATCCGTAGTATGTATCTTTTATTTCTCATCACAAACCTCACTGAGAATTATGTTGAACCAAAGAAATGGTTCTATCGAAAAACTGGATCAGAAAATTTAACTTTTAAATATAATTATTGCACAATAAACTTCCATTTACTGCACTGAGGTGGAGGCAACAATTACATCAAAACCAGGCCAAATAAAACCAAACTTTTACTACAGTAAGTGAGTAAACCTGTTTTTTAAAAAACCTTTCAATCACAGTAAAACATACACATAAATTAAAGGTAAAGAAAGCTACATATTTACACCTGACCTCACTTTTTCCTGAGTCTTATGTGGAGTTTATCTGTGATGAAGAGCTGCTGCTGCCAGAGCTCTTGGTCTTCTGCCCTCTGGTGGCGCTGGGCTGCCGCTGCACTCGTTGGCTAGAAGCCTCTCGGCTCTTCTCACCATGGCTCGCTCCAGATTTACTGCGCACTGATGACACAGAGCACCAAGTTAGGAGATGTCTGTTAGGTTATGATGATTGTGGCTTCTTCACATCACACTTTCACACGTGATGGAGATGACAAGGAAGGACTCAAATGAAAACCAGCACCTCGCATACAGAAGCAGAAATGGTTTCAGTGTCCCTTTCAATACAGTTTGCATGCAAAAACACTGCACACCTGACTACAGCAAGGACCGGAAAGTGACTAGAAAGTGATATTTGCAACTAGGAATTGTGATTATTCAGTACGTCTCAACATTGCCTGATAACCCCAGTGACCGTGTTGTCAAAGTACGGTCTGTAAATCAGCCCCGCCTGCCGCCTAGCCAAGGTTAGAAGAAGGGTTTTTCCAGCCAGTAGTTGAAGAGGTGGCGTCTTTAGCGCAGAGAGAGTGGGACAAAGACAGAGCAACAACCAGGGTTAACATGGGTTTGGTTGTTTGACATGGAGAGGGTTAAAAGCAGCCAGAGGACTCAGACTGGATCCAGATGTGGCCTTCTTCTGACAAAGAATTCAGTTTGCCTCCATACTAGTGCACTGTTTGCTCACAGTGTAGAATTTAGTTCTCTGTTCAGTTGGTGGAGCACATTTGGTGAAGAGGAATTACAATGTACACACACGCAAGAAGTTATGGCTGGAATCAGAGAAAATAAAATGTAGATTTTTCTTTGCCCCTCTTGATGAAGCCCCTTATACAGTCAGGGAAAAAAATGATTTGAACCCCAGCTGATTTTGTAAGTTTGCCCACTAACAAAGAAATGATCAGTCTACAATGTCAATGGTAGGTTTATGTGAACAGTGAGAGACACAACAATAACAAAAAATGCATTACAAAAAAAGTTATAAAGTAATTTGCATTTTCATGAATGAAATAAGTATTTGATCCCTTTGCAAAACGTGCTTTAGTACTTGGTTTTGTTTGCAATCATGGAGGTCAGACGTTTCTTGTAGTTGGCCACAAGGTTTGCACACATCTCAGGGGGGATTTTGACCCACTCCTCTTTGCAGATCCTCTCTAAGTCATTAATGTTTCGTGGCTGATGTTTGGCAACTCGAACCTTCAGCTCCCTCCACAGATTTTCTATGGGATTAAGGTCTGGGGACTGACTAGGCCACTCCATGACCTTCATATGCTTCTTCTTGAGCCAATCCTTTGTTGCCTTGGCCGTGTGTTTTGGATCATTGTCATGCTGGAATACCCAACCACGACCCATTTTCAATGCCCTGACTGAGAGAAGGAGGTTCTCACCTAAGATTTGGTGGTACACAGCCCCATCCATCCTCCCTTTGATGCGGTGCAATTGTCCTGTCCCCTTGGCAGAAAAACACCCCCAAAGCATAATGTTTCCACCTCCATATTTGACAGTGGGGACGGTGTTTTTGAGCCATAGGCAGCATTCCTCCTCCTTCGAACACGGCGAGTTGAGTTGATGCCAAAGAGTTCAATTTTGGTCTCATCTGACCACAACACTTTCACCCAGTCTTCCTCTGAATCAGTCAGATGTTCAGTGGCAAACTTCAAAC